TATATGTATGTGTGTATATATGTACACATATATGTATTTAATTATATTATAAAGATAGCTGGACCAGACAGATCAAGATGCCTCCTGCTCTATCACTGACTCTACTTTGCACTCATTGGAAAGTGAATATAATAGGTGTAAAACCATGTTTCTGAACAGTATATGAATCAGTTCTCATTGGCAAGGGTGTCTGATTTCAAATGAGAGCAAAGTCTTTTAATATCTACTAAACACTCTTATTCAAATTTTAAATGCCAACATTTGGCCAGCCTTAAGAAATTAAAAACCATCCACTTAAAACTGATCTATTTTAAAATGCTTCCAGGTTCTAATGAAAACATAACACCTGAAAACACTGGCAAAGGTGTGTACGCTTAGAGAAAAGAAAGAAACCGATAGGCTTAATTCCTCTTACTTACTTTTCATCTGCTTTTTTATGGGTTTTGAATGATCCAGCCAGTGCTGAAAGAAAGAAAATGTTTCTTTAGGAATAGTTCATCAGCAAGATTACACAACCCTCATAGTTACCCTCCTCCTATATACCTAGTGACTCTGCCTATAAAAATCAGGGATTGGACCAGATCACGAGTTCTTAGGTTGGGGAATCTGCAAGCCCCTGGGGATGGTATGAAAAGTCGCGTTTATGCACATAAATGCATTTTTCTGGGGAAAGAGCCCACAGTTTCTGTAAGATTTTCAAAGCGGTACCCAAAAGAACTTCAAATCCCTTACCTATTGCACAACACGGAGCCCTGGTGGCTCAGTGGTTAAGAGCTCAGTTGCTTACCAAGAGGTCAGCAGTTTGAATCCACCAGCTTCTCCTTGGAAACCCTATGGCAGTTTTACTCTGCCCTTTAGGGTTGCTATGAGTGGGAATTGACTCGATGGCAAAGGGTTTATTGTACAACATAGTGAACATAATTAATGTCACTGAATTGTACACATAAAAAAGGTTGGAATGGCAAATGTTTTGTTATGTATATTTTTACCACAATTAAAAGAAAAAAATTCCTTAATTAAATGATCTGTAAAGTCCCTTCCAGTCAGTGGAAACACCAACTGCCTTTTCCTTCTGCATTCCTAAAGTTACAATCATCTCCAATAATTCCAAGTTTCCATTAATCTAGTAAAGAGAACAAGCCACGCTTGAGACTCTCTAATCATCATCATTTTTGTAGTTCTATTGCCCTAAACTCTAAAACTATAACACCAAAATTCATGGTTCCATTATACATTTGCCCAGAAAATGACCCATCTCAGATGGAAAGATGACAGTTTAGGCAGCCAGGGATTTGCCTGAGATAATTTTGCTCTAGTCCCTGAGAGCATTTTCATTTCCTCTAGTGTTCACCAGGAGAAGCCCTTCAGTTTTATCCATCCAGGAGTATTACAAAATCATTGCCTTCATATAAGTTTCTCTCAAAGTTGTTCATACTGCAGTCCTAATGGCCTTAGCAGCTTAACTTCCATGGAAAACTACATTTAGGGTCCCTAGGTGGCATGAACAGTTTATGCTCAACTACAAACCTGAAGGTTGGCAGTTTGAACCCACCCAGGGGTACTGTGAGAAAAAGGCCTGGCGGTCTGCTTCCATTAAGATTACAGCCAAGAAACCCTATGGAGCGGTTCTAGTCTGTAATGCATGGGGTTGCCATGAGTTGGAATCGACTTCATGGCAACTAACAACAACTATGCCCTGTACAGATGTTCAATAATGGTTAATTAGTTAAATAATTAATCGATATATTAGAAGTCTACACTACTCGATATTCAACCAGATGACCCACTTTGCACCCTGTCGTCATGGTCCCTTGACTTTATTTATTCTGTTGACTTGCCTCTTTCTACTTAAATGGCCTCAGTTTAGACAGTATCATCCAGAGACAAGGAATACCTTAAATCTCAAAATCTTATATCTGTCTTTTTCAATCAAAAAGCAACTTCTCCCACTAACTCTCAGCCACCAAACGTACACGTAAGTATCCACTGCCAGCACATGGGTTCACCATGAGTTAGAACTGACTTGGTGGAAACAGGTTTTTTTTTTTTTTAAATGCTGTGATCCCCTCATGTGAGGGTAAGTTCCTGGAGGGCAGGGACTTAACCATTTCTGTGTCTCCTGGGCAGGGCGCAGGGCCTGGCACCCAGCAGGCCCTTATATTCTTGAGAAATAAACGTTAAATATAATTTTTAAAAATGAGGCAAATAGGGGCTTTTCTCATCATTTTATGTTAACTCAATACACACTGGAACATCACTGTTGGAATAAGAGTAGCGTAACACAGTCAGAGTGGGCTTCTCACTAGTTGTTCAGAATCAGAGACCAATCTGCCGACTGTCAATATACTTTCAGAAGCAATCTAAACTCTGCACATTCTAATAATGAAAGAGGGTGTGACTAAATTAGTATAGTGTACCCTACACCTAACCAAAGAGCCCATTATGACTGTGTAGGAAGACAGGGGATAGAGAAACACAAAAGGAAATAACAGACGAATTATAACACAATGAGCCGTGAGCAGTGCAGGGGAGAATGTGGGCTTTTGTCATCTCCACTCCCGGCTAGGCAACCGTGTAATAAAAGCAGCAAGCAGATCACTGCAGCAGGATGCTTATCTCAAAGGCACATGTACAAGATGCTTTGTCTCACTGTTAATAGCTTTGAATTGGAAATGACCTAAATGTCCATCAACAAATGGATTAAAAAATGGCTCATCCATATAATGAAATACTATTTGATGTAGGCCTATATTTATGGATGTGGCAAGAGATTCAAGGCACAGTATTAATAAAAAAGAAAAAAAAAAAAAACCCAGGTAGGGTTCCATTTACATAAAATTATTATGTTCTATCAAGATATGTCCAGAAGGATTTTTAGAGGGTATTTCTGGATCGTGGGGCTGTGAATGCCATTCTCTGCTTTTTAAAATTTTCTTTTTACTTACCTGCATTATTCTTTTATTTATGTAAATGAAAATACGATATTCATGGGGCGGCCTGGGTTGTCACTTCCATATTCAATATTCACCTGTCAGGTAGTTTTTGATGATCAGTTTGACTCCTTAGAGTCAGCTATCACCTCTGCCCGAACCAAGCTGAAAACCCCCAACTTTAGCCTCTAGGAGAGTCTATGGGTGGTGCAAATGATTAACATGCTCGGCTGCTAATCAAAAGGCTGGTGGTTCGAGTCCACCCAGAGGTGCCTCAGAAGAAAGCCCTGGTGATCTGCTTCCAAAAAATCAGCCTATGGAGCACAGTTCTACTGTGACACACATGGGGTCACCATGAGTCAGAATCAACTCGAGGGCAACTGGTTACCATATGCCAGACATGGTAGCCCCCAGGAGAAGGACAGACACAGACTTGATAAAGGCATAAAATTTACTTTCCTACCAAAGTAAATATCATGCTAACTGTTTTCACTTCTAGGGTTCTTCCCCTCACTTTCAAATGAATTAATCTTTACCATGCAAAGAAAGTTCTCCCTGCAATCGGCCTTCTAGTCTAATTAGCACTGAAGCTCATAAATTAAAGGTGCTTATCCCATTTCTTTTCTTTCTCAAATCTCCTTGACATATTTTGACTAGAACAAGTTTAAGCTCACCTTTCCTCTCCTTCTACTGTGGAACTCTAATCTTGATCCAGGCTATGTAGTTTTAGCTGTGATGTTTGACCCTGGCTTCACATTAGAATCATTGAGGAACTTGAAAAAAAGTCAATATCCAGGCCTCACCCAAGGCCCATTAAAGAGAATCTCAGCGAATCAGCGTTTAATTTTAAACACTCCCAGGATGCCCATTAAATATTTAGTACCAAAGTTTTCCGCATCCTCTCCAACCCAGGAATATATATATACCATGATGATCTTGGGGATTTGGGGACATCCATCACCCCTTCTGAAAACTGCCGTTTGAGCTCTGTAAATTCTCAAGCAATTTCAGACCTTACTGCGCAGTCGGCTAACTGTGTATAGCTGGTGTTAACGCAGAGACTGCAGCCAGACGTTCCTATGGGACAGCAGACTGCTTTCTCTCTGGACACACTGCCTACTGCAGGCTGGGCTCCACCCTCCCGCTCAGTCATGGAGCCTGCCCAAAGTGGCCTGACCCGACAGCTGCCAGAGCAGAGGACTGTGAAAAGCGTGGGGCTGGCTAAGCTGGGAAAGGAATCAGAAACAATTCCATCATTTCAAAAGCTCCCGGACCCACCCCACCCTGGGGTTCAGATTAGGTTTGCTGTCTGCATCAAAGGTGATAAGAGACCCAGTCACAATCCTAAAGCACGAGATGATAAAATCTATCTTGTACCCTAGCAGTTTCAAATGACCTGGCTTTCTTCTTAGCTGTGGGATGTTACCAGACTCTGACCACTTGTGTTTTATCCCACAAGGCCACCTTGTGACTGGAATACACGTGCACTGAAAGCCCAATGTGGCATTTGATAAGTTGTATGCCAGCAGCAGCAGGACCTGTCTTGGTTGCTCATCTGTGTTCTGGCTAAATATAGCCATGCTGCCCATTGGTAGAGGCCAAGGCAAATGGCTCCAGCCCTCTTAACAGACCATTAACCAGTCACTGGAAAGAGACAGGTACATTTCTGAGTTCAAAGGGCAAGACACTTAACTCAGACACTTTAACGGGTATTAGAAAGGTAGTTTCTGATCTGCGTTTCTCATCCAAGTCCATCTGGCAAGACCCTTCCCTTAAATCAAGATGTTAGATGATCTTGGCAAAGCCCATATAGTCTGAATAGTACTATATAGTCTGAATAGTACATCACTTCTGGAAGTAAGACACATATAAGACTGGTTGTAGAATTTAATCATCTAAAATCCACACAAAAGCATCGGAACTGCAACACCCAAGAAAAGTTCAGGGGTTTGAAGAGGGTCTAAAAATCTTTTGCCTGAACAATCCCTGAGCCCTCACCATTAAGTCGGGGCGATGGAACTTGTAACTGGGTTTCTAGTACCTAGAGATTTTCTTGGCTGTAAGGAATATCTAGTTTATGCTTATATTAAAGTTGGAAGGAACCTGGAGAGACAATCCCACCCAAACGACAAAGGCAGGAAGAAGGGAGTGAACACTTTGAAGTTGACTGTGCCACACCCCTCACCTTACTCAGATGAGTGAGCAGATGAGATGGCCACGGAAAGGGAGACTGATGTGTCCAGGATCACGGTGCTCACAAGAGGTAGAGGCAGGATTCAAACTCAAGCCTCTCTGACCTTCCCATGCTCTAGGTTTCAAGCCCATAAACTAGCTTAAAGTACCTTCTCTCTTTTCTCCTTCTCCACCGATGGGGGCAGAGGGATCTCTTCTCTCCACCTCCTCTGTAATGAAGACCTGTAAACTCCTTTATACAAGCTAGTTGAGGTTTCATCTAAATCAACTGCTGTTGTTATTGTTAAATGACCAAGAGTTGGCTTCTGACTCATGGAGACCCATGTACAATGGAACAAA